CCACGATTTTAGCTCTGCAAGGAGGGCAGGGGAGGCATATGATAGTTGTGAATTGAGGCTGAAGTGATGGAGAGACCAACTTGATCACCCAAGGGCCCCCTATACACATTATTGTGCTATTGAAGACAAAAGTGGGGGGTTCCTTCAACCACCCTCATTCAGCTCGACCAAAGGATCCAAGGAAGAGGGAGAAGCTCTCCATGAACACCATTTTCATCCATCATACACGCACCAAGTTAAGGGAGGAAGAAGAAAGGGAAAAGAGAAGAGAAAAGAGGAGTTTAGGTGGGAAAACTTGTGTTTAACAAGGTAATGACTCCATTAATCCCATTTCTTGTTCTTAAATCCTCTTATATAATTATTCGATCATATTTCACACCCTAGCATTGTTCTACATGTTTGGAAGTGTAGAATGAGGGGTTGGAAGGTAGTTCTAAGTCCAAGAACGGACTTAGAAGCCAAAGTGACCGGTTCGCCGGGAAATAACCTTTTTGAGGTTATTTGTATTACTATGGGTTTTATGATGATAAAACCTTGTTAGTAACTTGTCTAAGGTATTTAAGTAACTTTCACGGAGTTGAAAGGGGTGCCGGAGTTGTTGCCGGAGTTCGTTGAAGTTCGCCGGAGTTTCACCGGAGCTAAATCGGGAAGGCTAGAACTTCATAAGCTTCATTAAGGTGAGAAGACGGCTTTATGCTTTATAACTTTTGCGTGAGGCATGAGATTACCTAAAGTAATCAAAAATATGTTTTATGGAATGATTAAGGATAATCAAGTATTTGCTTTTATAATCGAAAAGCATGTTATTTACGTTTGATGATTAAAAATGCGATAAATTATTATGTGTGATGTTCCAGGGATCCAAAATGGTATTTTTGGATTGAGGACGTCAAGAAGTACATGTGTGTAAAATTTCACGTTAATTGGACTCCGTTTGGGGGGTCAAACGGGCGTTGACCGCCAAGTCAACTACCATACCGACCGGGTATTGACAAGTACCCGACCGGGTATTTGCTGAAGAATTGCCCCAGGGGGCTACTGCCTCCTATACCCGATCGAGTGTGGGTAGATACTCGATCGAGTATACATTGAAAATTAGCTTTGTGGGCTACTGTCTCCTGTACTCGACCGAGTATAGGTGAGTACTCGATCGAGTATTAGTTTATGCTCAAAACGGGCAGTTTTGAGTAGGTTAACGTGGGCCGTTCAGGTGGGACCCGCCCACATTGGTTCCTAAGGATTGTTATATGACTATAGGGCTAGGCATTGTCCATAGTTTAAGGAATGAAAGGTTAGCCATATCCAGGTTAGGATTTGGTAGAGGATAGACTGGGGATTGAGTACCCTTGGGCGATAAATGATCCAGAATACTCCAGGTGGGGTCGAGTACCCTTGGACGGTAAATGATCCAGAATACTCCAGGTGGGGTTGAGTACCCTTGGACGGTAAATGATCCAGAATACTCCAAGTGGGGTCGGGTACCCTTGGACGGTAAATGATCCAGAATACTCCAGGTGGGGTCGAGTACCCTTGGACGGTAAATTATCCAGAATACTCCAGGTGGGGCCGAGTACCCTTGGACGGTAAATGATCCTAAATACTCCAGGTTGGGTTGAGTGCCTTGGACGGTAAATGATCCTAAAACACTCGGTAGTATGAATCGAAGGTAGACTATAGCTTGTGAGCTAGACAACCGGGAAAGGAGTGAGAAAAGTCAGGTAAGAACTTTATCTCTAAAAGACTCTTTAAGGTAAATGACCTACGGGTTGAGTATTTTACGAGTATATATATAGTATGTATCATCGGGTGGATGAGAGACATCTATATATATATATATATATATATGTATCACCCTATTTTTGGGTCTCGTGTCTGAAACATTAGTTATTCTTCATATAGCCTGCTTGTCACTAGTACTTCTATGAAGTAGTGACCCCTCCGGGGCCCTCACATTTTTCAGGTTAAGACTAGAGTCCTACTACCTGCACCTTTGCCTAGGGTGACCATTCAAGGAGGAAGACGTGGTTCGTGCTTCCATTCGTATTTGAAATTTATAAACTGCTCATGGATATTTGAACAATGTTTTCCTTAAAACGGTTGGGGCCTGCGTGCCCGTGTTTGCTACGTGTGGCTAAGTATCAAACATATTATTATTTCCGCATTTGTTTGATTATAATATTGATGTTGATTATACGTGTTTACTAATCGGTTTGGTAATAGAATCAATCGGACACCTTGTACAATTCGATAGGGATGAATTGTTGTTGTTCTTATCGGGTTGTACGGTGGTTGTCTACGTGGCTCGGATGCGGTCCGGGGCGTGACAAATAATGATAACAATGATCCTATATAGAGAATACGAAATACTTCCTCCGTTTTTTTAATTGCAACGATCCACTTTTCATGTTTGCCAACACACAAGTTTGATCATTAATATGTTTCATTCTTTATTAGTAAAAAAATTAAAAAATTCTGATTTTAAAAATTTAAAATGAGAAGAATTTTAAAATATTTTTTTAAAATTTAATTTATTATACATTAATAAATAAAATATAATCAAAGTAAAACATGTGAATAGTGCAAAAATCCAACGTTGCAATTAAACGAGAACGATGTAGTATTATAGATTAAGCAATATTCTCATTATTGAAAAGGGAGGAATGTTGACTTACCGGTGGACGTAGCTCAACTGGTAGTAAGGGAGTGTCACAAAAGGTTAGATCCTGAATTCGAAATCCGACAACTGCGCATAGAGGTTATTATGCTAAAAATGCATAAGGTCTTTGTAAATACAGGAATATAGTCTCACTCTCTATCTGTCAGATTGTGATTATAGTCTAATTTACATCCTCCCAACGTACTGTCCGATCGTAGTTGGGGAGTCCTCACCGATGGATGTCATCCTTTTTTTGAGGAATGTAGACTTGGAATAGGTGTAGGCCGGATGAAAAAATAGGTTATTGAAGGATCGAGGAATATTCTTTAGACATAAAATATCGACTTTATGAATTTCGAATGTTACGACAAAACTCCTAGTCACAGGCTCATAGCTCACTCGTCATTTTTGTCCTTGTATTTCCTTTTCAAAGGTAACTTCAACAACAAAACCAAATGAACAAGAAAACACACACTTTACAATTATACTTCGGTTTAAATTAAATTTCCAAGATTTTGACTTGACTCATTTAGTAGAAAATAAAACTTTGTTATGGACGCACGGATACATATAGATTTTGGTTTAAGTTCTAAATACCTCTAATATAAGAAATGAAAATGAATTTCAATTGTTTGATTTGCAACGCTAAGTTAAAACAAGTTTTAAATTGTATAAATATTTAAATTTTGCGATGTTACACTCCAACAATTTCATATTTCATTAGAATTTGATTATGTTGCATTAAAACAATTTAATGTTGCATTAGGGAGGTGTAGCATGAATTTTTCAAAAGTATTTAAGAAAATGCCACCATACATAGAGTCCGTTTGGTAACACTGAAATCGGCTGAATCGGCTGATTCTGCTGAAATTTATGAAGTTCTGACTGAAGTGGCTGTATTGGCTGATTTTACTGATTCATGAAAAAATTAAATTCAAAATATATTTTATTAATAAAATAAAGAAAAAATTATATGTAAAAATATCTAAAATGGTCATCTACAGTCACTTCAACCGATACAGCCAGAAAAGTAACTACAATCTTACTTTTTCGGCTTATTATAACATTCAGCGCGTGAAATCAAAAGTTACGTGTTTGGTTAAAAAGCTGGCTGATAAGTCTGATAAGCCGAATAAATGGGTCACCAAATGGGCTCATAATAACATATTTCAGCACAACAATGACCTCTTTTAAAACAATAAATTTTAATTCAACGATTGAGATTCATTCTCATTTCGCTCCTAAAATTTCTTTTTAATTGGATCATACCTTATATATATTAGAGCATCCACACTCGTGCTTCTAACACAATCTGATTTTTTGTGATTCTTACCTTTTAATATTTGCCACATAATTGTTTTAGAAATAATCTTGTCCCCTCTAAATTACATTCAACCATCATCCCGAAATAATCTAATCTTTTGCGGGTCATTTATTAACTAATTAACTCTAACTTCACAAATAATCTCAAAATAATCCGGTTTCATATTTTGATCTCAGATTATTCTATCAATTAATCATGTCAAATAATCTCTCTCACTCAACCATGCTCCCCAAAATAATATGCCATGTCACCAGAATAATCACTTAATAATCTAATGGATGGTGATGCCCTTAAAGTACGTAGCAATAATTTAAGAAAAACACCACCATACAACTATTTTCTTGAGAAACATACCGACACCATTATCTTTTCCCTTTTTTTTGTGTGAAAAAAATCAATCAAATATACATATACCTATTTATATAACAAAACCCACAAAAATGTGTTAATAATACGAGCTATTACGCATCAATTAATAATTAAGAACAAAATTGTTGAAAATAAACATTTGATCCTAAATATATATGTATATATTTAGGATCAAATGTATATAATTTATATTCAAGATAAAAATATAACATCAAAAAATTATTGTGAAAAAATGCCAAAAAACATTTTTTTTTTAGTTTTTTCGTATAAAAAAATCCAGTTTTTTTGGAAACCAAGCTACAAACAAAAAATACCACGTTAAAAAACAAGTTAAAAATCGTTTTTAGAGGTTACAAAATCGTTTATGAAACACTTAAAATAGTTTATTTGACGCTAAATCAATCTTATTGTATTTTTACTTGGACCGTTTTTAGTCTTATACCAGACTTAGATAATTATAAAATATACATAAACTTGACATTTACAAAATCAGACAAGACCAATTCAGATCAACAGATTTAAGTCCCAATAAAACCATCCTAAATAAAAAATGACTATATGCCATTTATTTACTATTAAGTCACGTGCCAGACAATTCCGCACGATTAAGTCGTCAAATGTCGAACCCATTGACATTAATTAATGTCAATTTGTCCATCTTGCCCCTCATCAGTCGCCGCTCACCTCCAATCTCACTCTCCCAGTCTCCACTCCTATCCACATAAACTAAACTGAGCTCTCTCTCATTCAATTCTGACCCCTACCTATCCATCTCTTTCAACAACCAAAACTAAAAACTGTCTATTTTCTGCATCCAAGAACAATGAGCGGATTAAGGAGGTTTCAGTTAATCGAGCATTCCCCATCTTCTTTCCTGGCTCCCAAGTCCCTCGCACTAAACCCATGGTTTCCCATTGGCATAGAAGACGACTTCGACATCGCTCTTGATTTGCTTTCTCCCAGCCCCAGAGCTATTTCCGAAGCGCTCCTAGATTTCGCTTCACCCTTTGAAGAATTCGACGCCTTTACCGATTTGATTCAGATCGAGAGGACCCCGTTCTACAGCTCAGCCAAACGGGTCCAGCGATTCGGGTCAGAGCGGCACCACTTGCAGAGTCTCTGCGACAGGGTCTCTGCCATAGAGCTGGGGTTTGACCGGTTGCTCAAGGAGGAGGCCGAGAAGAAGAAGAAGTCGCGCGTCGGGCAACGGAAGTACACGTGGACGGCGGAGATCAAGAACCCTGAGGAAGACGGACTTGACCGGACCTACAAGTGGGTCGCCGAGGTTAAGGATGGGAAGAAGAAGGGCTCACTGGACAAGAGCTACAAGCTGACTGCTCAGATCAAGGGGAAAGGGGAAGACTCTCCTGTCTCGCGGACATACACTTTCAAAACGTCCACCAGCGATGAAGGGAAGTGTAATGCTTCAGAGAAGGATAAGGAGAAGGAGAAGAAGAAGACGGTAAATGATAAGCAGAAGAAGGAACCAGCACAGAGCTACGCGCGTGTGATTGAGATTGAAGATCCCTCTGATAATAGGGCTATTATCCGGACAAAGGTCTGGATTATCTTTTTGTTTATTCTTCACATCCTGATGCATAATTGGAAATGTCTGCATTGATATTGAGTTGATGGTTTACTTCTCTAGTGATATTAACATGTTTACCGCAGTGAAAATCAGTAGTCCAGTAGTCTGTCACCAACCTAAGATGGTAATAATCCAAGACATGGAAAGAGACGTTTTTTTTATCACCAACAGAAGCCAAAGCTTATGTGCTTGTTGATGCTGTAGGGATTTCTCTTGGGGCTCATGGAGGGAGTGGGGTTAAGGTCGGCTGGGGGGGGGATAATTTCAGTGAGCCAAGTCTAAGTCTCTATCTTGATATATACTACATAGATGAGATTTCATACAAAATGTGGTCATTCTTTATTTGTTTTTCAAAGAGCATTCTTTTTATCAATGCATAATTGCATATACTAAGTCCTTCAAAGTCTTCTCCTCTGAAGTGTTGGGTCAGTTTGGATAGGTGGGTTTTAGTGGCTGGATTTGCATATTAAGTAATCCATTGTTTCTTATTTGTGCTTTACGCTTTACAGACACACTGAATAATATGATAAATTTTGAAGGTTGTTAAAGGGGTTACTTCTTGTTGGCATTGTGACAGGCATTTGAAAAAATGATGGAGAAGAAGAGAGGAAAGAGGAAGGATTTGTCCCCACAAGATGCTGCCATGATAATACAGTATAGCTTTAAGGCTTATCTTGTAAGGAGGTCAAAGGCTCTTCGTGCTCTTCGCGAGTTGGCCATTGCTAAGAGTAAGTTGAAGGAACTTAAGTCCTATTTCAACAACTTCACTTATAGGAAGCATGTAGCTCGTGATGCTGAGGAGCGTCAAAGGTTTTCTGAGAAGATCATTGTGCTCCTACTCACTGTGGATGCCATTGAGGTATTATAAATCTCCATTCAGCATGTTTACCAATAATTGATGTGGGTAATATGCATTTCACAAAGTGGGAAACATAATGTGTTAATATGATGCCAATAATCTTAATTATTTGATTATCAGACTGTACACCACATCATGGTGGCATCCAAGTTCAAAATATATTTGTGGTGAAGATGATGTGTTGGTGGTGCGGCAATGATTGTTGGAAAAATGGTTTTACAAATTAATATTATGGTCATTAATGTTATTTGTAAAAAAACCATTTTGAAATGAATGAGAAATTGTTCCCAGAAAGATAAGCGTGGAATTATATTTAACACGCTCACACTGCCGTCGTCGGTCGGGTCGGGTTCGAGTCTGTGACCAGTCAACAATCGGGCTTAAGATAGGAAGATTTATTTTGCTACGTTTTTCGGATAAAGCAAACAGAAGAGACATAACTATTCTATTTAAAAGAAAGATCATGAACTTTCTTTTAAGAGGTGTCTTTTGGGTTAGAGACTCTTGGCCAAAGCTCTATAAATACGCTCCTTGTCTCCTGTTTTGAGATATCCGAAAATCTACACACACAATCCTCCATATTCTCTTCCTTCGTTGCATCTTTGAGTTCGCTGGAATCCCGTTGGGAGCGAAGAACCATTCTATCCTGGGAGACGCTTGCTTCGTGTGTCGGGCAAAAACGTCTCAAGGAAACAACGCTTACATTGGGCTCGGTTACAAGTAGTCTTACGTTTTTCCTTAACTATTTTATTTTTTATTTCATTTGCATGCAAAACTTTTGTTCACCCAAATATTAATGATATGGTGATTTTTAAAAGGTTTGAAAAAACCATAGGGCCACATAAGCAACTTATTTAGTCGGGACTTGTTTCGGTTTTGATGGACTGTAAACAGTAGCGAAATATGAGAGGAGGAGTGTGTGTAGCGAGTCAGATAATGAAGCTGTGGGAAAAACATAGCTTAGCACTCTGTAGTGCACTAGTGCAGTTACTCTTTTCACTATAATTTGTTCCGCCTTTCGCCCCTTCTCGTAGGCCATGTGTGTTAAACCACAAAACTATCATTGTATGTGTTATTTTTTAACAATGGAAATTATCTCTCGTGAAACTATCATTTATGTTTTTACTGCTTTACGCCTTTAAAAACACTGAATAATATGTGCTTTACGCCTTTACAAACACTATATTTTTCTTTTTTATTACAGATTATTATTGCTTTGTGTCACAAACTATCAAAGTGGTTAAGTGATGTAATTGACATGGACATTTAGGATCATTACACTTTGTTCTCTTTTGAGATGCAACATTTGGAGTGAAATGTGGTTAAGGAAAGAAAATAATGACTGTATTTTGATGATATATTTTCAAGGATTTAATGCCTTTTAGTGGAGTATAAGTGCTTATGCTTCATTAAAAAGCGTTTGATGTGCTTTTAAGATTAAAGAACACTTTTAATGCTAATTTAAGAATACATCAGGCTGGTGCGTTTCTAAAAAAGTACATAAAGTGCTCAAATGAGAAAGCACTCTAGACAGTAGTCACATTGTGCAAAAAAATGCATTGGTTAAAATTGCAGTATAAAAATTGCATTGGTTAAAAACACAGTGTAAAAAATGATGGTTTACCAAACAATTGTATTACCAAGTGTTTTACCAAGTGTTAAAATGATGTTTTACCAAGTGTTTGGGTAAAATGATGTAAAAATTGGTTAAAATGCATTGGTTAAAATTGCAAAAAAATGCATTGGTTAAAGTTGCAGTATAAAAATTGCATTGGTTAAAAACACAGTGTAAAAAATGATGGTTTACCAAACAATTGTATTACCAAGTGTTTTACCAAGTGTTGAAATGATGTTTTACCAAGTGTTTTACCAAGTGTTAAAATGATGTTTTACCAAGTGTTAAAATGATGTTTTACCAAGTATTACAGTGTTAAAATGATGTTTTACCAAGTGTTTGGTAAAACAAGTGTTTTTGTGTAAAAATTGCATTGGTAAAACATAGTGTTTTTGCAGTATAAAAAATGCATTGGGTAACCAATGCAAAAAAATGCATTGGTTAAAATTGCAACAAAAATATGCATTGGTTAAAAAATATGTGACTCGGTCACATTGCACTATAGTCACTTGAAAAAAAATCCATTGGTTAATTTTTCAAGTCAAGTTGTCATTGAATGGGATGGGTACTCAATCATAATGCATCACACCAGGGATTTTTTCTTCTTGAAACTAGAACCTGTAGAACCCCCCCCCCCCCCCCCATGTTTTTTTTAATTCATGTGGTGATGTTTGTGATATTCTGTGCATTAGGAGGCTGATATGATGGTGAGAGCTTCAAAGAAGAGCATGGTGGAAGATCTAGAAGGAATGCTTGATGCTGTGGACCCCCAGCAGCAGCCTCCTGCTGCTGCAGGTAGAAGTGTATCAATGAGGAGGAGAACGTTTGATATGCCTGACAGTTTCATCAGGAAGGATGTGGCTGATGGTGTGGCACAAGTTATCCAAATGCTGGGTGAGTCAAATGATTCCGAGTCCTTTGACCCTTGCTCATGAGCCCCGCTGCTAAAACTCGGGAACACGCCTTTTATGATCCTACAGCAAGCTGGTGGTCGGCTAGTCCCTCTCCGTTTAGGTGTTTTTTGAGCTTCCCTAGAGACATTAATGTTTGATGTATTATTATGTGGACCAATGTGTTTTTCTGAATGCAATCTTTGTTGTGTGTTAATTGATGTGTACTTTGGACTTACTTGGATTACCTGTGTTTTGAGTTTTTGTATTGTGCTCTTTTTTTAACCCAAGCTTATTCCAACTCTTGCCAACTTGGTGGGGCGAATTATGAGGTGAATTAAGCTAAGTACACACATGCCAGGGATCTTGTCTAATCGTTCTTAATTTCTTATCAAGTCATTTAAGAACTTTTTTACCCCTTTAAATTCATATTACACATTTCCTTCAGATGTCCATATCAGTGTGTTCCTTCAGATTACAATTGAGTAAATCTACGGAGACATTAAAAGTGTACATTGTTTCCAATGTGGTAAAAATCCATTGATTAAAAGTTGTTCTTGTGATGTCACTTAGGGTTGGACCGGGTCGGGTTGGGCCCTGACCGGGATTGTGCAGGATTGGGAATTTGGGCTGAAGGCCGGGCACCGGCCTGGGTCATTTTTTTTTTAAATTTAGTCTTTTCTAATTTATTCCCACCCCCAAACCCCGCCAAAACACCCAGCCCAACCCACCTAGCAGCGGCCCAATGCAAAAAAAACTAAAAAAATATATTTTGTCCTGACTCGGTCCACTAAAATTAAGTCCCGAAGCCCGCCCCATGTTACATATTCAGAACAAATCGAAGGCATTTCAGAGTTCTATATCAAATCGAAACCATTATATAAGGCCTATCACCATTGGACCGACTGAGTCATCGTGACTTACTCTTCCACCATTCTGTCGGGTCGGGGTGTGGAGACTCATGGGCTGGGAGATTCCACCTTTTGGAACAAGGAGGTTCGGATGACCACCCTGACACCCCTTGTCTCCGCCCCTACCTATAGAAAAGAAGAAAAAACAATGAATACTGAATATTTATTTATATTGAATTTTTTTTTCTTATAATCTTCACCATAAAATGTTTTATATGGTATAATAGAAAACAACATTTTCTGTCTTATAAAGTTGCATTTTTGGAATGTAATTAATTATCTTCTAAATTTTGTCGAGATGTATGAAATTTTCACATTATTCCCATTTCAATGACAAAAGTATACTTAAGTTGATGATACACAAAATAATCTTACTCAATAGTTATTAAATTTTACAAATAAAATACATATATATATATACATAAAATTTTCAGTAGTCTTACTTTTTGAAAATGTAGAAGATATTACGGATGGTCTCAAGAGTGTGTATTATATATAGAGTACATACAAAATGTTTGCGATTGCTTCTACTTTAAAAAAGTGATGTTATTAAAGTGATTTTTGAGAAAATGCTTAATATTAAAAGTTGATAGTGTTTGAGAAATTTTCTTTTTGAAAAAATAAAAGTTGGAAGTGTTTGGTAAAACAAGTGTTTTTGTGTAGAAAAAAAGTGAAAAACGGTTTAAAGCAACTCTCCACCTACTTCAATCTTTTAGCTTTTAAATACTCGTATTTTATTTAAGCATTAGCTATCACTTGAAGAAACTCACTTCAGCTTTTTTTTTTGTCAGTTGAAATCACTGTTTTTTTTATTTGTTTGAACACAGGCTTATGGCTTACAGGACTCAAGTGCATAAGCGGCCCTTGGACAGGCCGTAAGTCCAAACAAATTGGAAGTTTTTAGGCCCAATAAATTGGAAGTTTTTAGGCCCTTAAACTGACTTCTCAGCCCTAATGTAAAGTTTTAACAAACAGCGTAGTAATTCAGACCAGCCGAGCGAGCACAGATCTCTGCAGCATCATTTCATCCACATCCAGTATCAGTCATACACGAACTGTCGAAGTCGGACGCCGCGGCCGACTCCCTTCGCGGCTTCGCCTTCCGGCGGCGCCAGCACGCAGCACCGCAGCGCCGCCACTCCGCCAGGCTCCAGCACCGCAGCAGGCCTCGTCAGTCGCGCGTACTCGCCTCACGCCCGTCTCCCTGTCTCCTGCACTCCGCCACTCACCTTTCCGCAGTTCGGCCAATTGGCCCTTCTCAATTTTCAACTTCCGACCTTTCTGTAGTTCCGGTATTCCTCCAGTCCTCTTTTATTGATTATTAGTTCATTAATTGATTTAGTTCATAGATGTTTATAAATATTTAGTTAAATTAATGATATTGTTATTTGTTGAAATCTAAGAAAACTCTTAGAAACCCAACCAAACTCTATAGGTAACTTACTACTTTCACAATGTACTTTTTGTAATTTTGATCAGCTCTACAAATTTAGCTTTTGACATTCACATGCGGCAGAAAAAACTAAGATATTAGATCTTTACCTAAGATCCCAAAATGGCAGAAAAAATTGATGTTTTTATTTTCAGAAAACTTGTCACTCGGCAGGTCATTCCAAATTAACGTAAATGGAACTGTTCAAAATTAGTAATTATTGAAGCATGATTCTGTGTTTTTGAAAACAATCACCAATTGCATAAATTAGACTCGAATAATATCTCCTAAAAAAAATACCTATGTTCAACACAATCGTGACTATGTCTTTTTCTACTTAACAAAATCAATTTAACCAAATTTTTACTTCTTCTGTGCTATATAGTGTCAATACTTGTCTAATACAATATATATTAAAACAAATTATCATGTTCTAACTTCTAATCATCAAAGAATTGTACCTTTAATAATATTTTCTTTTTCTTTATTATCTTTTTCATTATCATACCTTATCTTTGTATCATTCTTTTTTGAATCCGATATCATGTATTGTTTCATGTTAGCTGACCCCAAAATCTTGTGGGATTAAGGCTCGGATGTTGTTTGTTTGTTGTTGTGTTTCAAATTTGTTCACATATTAATAAATCTAAATAATTCAAGATAACAAAGAGTTCCATGGACATAGAAGTACCTGTTGTTCAACAAAGTTTAATGGAAATAGAAATAAAGAACGCCTTCATAAAAAACTAAAAACACACAGGTTATAATTCATTATACAAAAAGTAGGATTAGTACACAATGTATAAGGAAAAAGTAGTAGAGGTAATGATTAGTGTAGAAAAATTAATAGAGAAGATGGAAAAGTATGAAACATAAGATGAAAAGTAGAAAATATAAGGGTAATTGAGTATTTTTAAAGGAAAAAGTTACCCAAACTGAAAACTGCAGCAAACATAAAAATACATCCCAAAAAGGAAAGTGTAGCAAATGTTTCAATACGGAAGGAATATATTTTAAATATTTTGTCAATAGTTAAGCATATTCAACTGTTTCAGCCAAAATTTTCCTAATTTCAGCAAATTCAGCCAATTTCAGCATATTCAACATCTTTGGTTATATTTTAATGCTTGGATAAAATAAAATTTAACAACTGCATCTTTTGTCAAATTTTTTAATGCATCTTTTGTCATATATTTTAATGCTTGGGTAAGGTAAAGTGTATAATACACTTATCTTTAGCATTTCATTTTACATTAACAACTGCATCTTTTGTCATAATGTTTTAATGCTTGGGTAAAAAAAAAACTTAAAGCAGAGATGCTAGTTTGCAGGTTTGGGTTAACGCTTGTAGTTCAATTTATAGAGCGAGAGCATGAGCTATTATTTACCCTTCTATTCTTTGAGTGGTAATAAAGTTCATGAGTTTCGTTGTTTTGTTATTGGGAACAGCAAAATTGCTAATTGGCCTCATTGGTAGTTTGCCAGTCATTTACATTTCACTTCAGAATTGAAATCTGTGAGCATACGATTGCATAAGTTCTTTGTTGCTTTTTTTGCTCAACAGTGTAGATTTGCTGCATGAGAGAGAGCAAACACAAATGGAAATGATTTGTTAGTCATCTACTACATTGTATAATGAGTCTGGTTTCACAGTTAAGGCATCGTTTGCCTACTCTACAACTCGTAAGACAGCGTATTCTGTGCAATGCGACTGCACAATCACCTTCTTTTGGAAAGACACGACACTTCTCTCAACCTGCCAGGAAAGAGGAAGAGGAGGAGGAAGTAGAATTTGACCAGAGAAGACTTCCAGCTGATTATGACCCCGCAACATTTGATCCAACAGAGCATCGCAGTCCTCCAACAGAGAGAGTGTGGAGGCTCGTTGATGAAGTTTCCGGACTCTCATTGGTTGAAGTAGCTGAGCTGTCTGGGATTTTGATGAAGAGGTTGGGTATGACTCAACCACCCACGGTGGGGATTATGAAGGCGGGAGATGCTGCTGGCATGGCAGAGAAAGGAGGGTCCACAGCAGCAGCTAAGGAAGAAAAGAAGCCTGAAAAGACCATTTTTGAGCTGAAGCTAGAGTCTTATGATGCTACTCAAAAGATCAAGATAATTAAAGAGGTCCGTGGCGTAACTGATTTAGGTCTCAAGGAAGCAAAGGATTTGGTGGAAAAGTCACCCGCCGTGTTTAAGAAAGGAGTGTCAAAGGAAGAAGCAGAGCAAATTATTGAGAAGATGAAAGCAGTTGGGGCCAAAGTTGTCATGGAATAACGGAAAGTAGTGCAAATTTGTCTCTCTTGTTGATATAATGATTTTTCTACACTGAATCAATTAAATAAATACTGGACTCTTCAAGTTTTAGTAATCTTGCTTTTGGTTTTGTCTTCTATTCAGAAATAGTTTCAAAATTCCCTAGTATGCTTGGGTTGCAGTTTGCTTCTGAATTGCATATGAGCATTTCAAACTAATGCCACAAAGCCTTAATCATTTTTGGTGGATGATTTAACATGTTACGGGCATGGATGATTTATAATACGGAGTATGTGTTATTCTGCCGTTTTGTGTGTTTGTAGAATTGTCAAGCGTGTTTCCTATTTTCTATTCTCAAATCTTTATTTTACTTAGAGCCCGTTTTGTTTGTGGGTGCAGATCCTCTCCATTTTTTCTTCTCCATTTTCTATCCATTTCTTTTTTTCTTCCTATCTTTCTCTACTAGGGATGGACTCGGGCCGGGTGGCCTGACCCGGAACCGGCCTGGGACCGGTGCTGTTCCGGCCCGGTCCGACCCGGTGGCCCGGTCAGTGACTGGTCTGGGTAGGCCCGGCCCGTGGGTTTTCCGGTCCGGGCTCGGGTCACCCAAAACAAGGCCCGGCCGGGCCCGGGCCCGGTTCGGGCCAAAAACTATTTTTTTTTTCAATTTTTTTTTTAAATTTTCGGGTTGGGCTGGGTATTTTGGGCCATTTGGGGTGGTTTGGGGGGTTGGGGGTGGGAGGGGGGTTAATTAGGAAGAGGAAAACAAAAAAAATATAATGGGCCCGGCCCAGCTCGGACCCGGACCGGACCCGGTGGTTACCCGAGCCGGTCCCGGGTCCACCATTTCTGACCCGCCGGCCCGTCCGGGCCTAGGCCCGACCCGGACCCGAGTCCATCCCTATTCTCTACCTTTTTCTCTATCATACTCATCTACATACCTCACCTAAAATTCCCTCCTCTCTATCTCTCTCCCACCGGAACTCTCCAGTCACTGGAGAGGATCCAAACTCTTTGTTTGTTTGTAGAATTGTCGAGTGTGTTTCCTATTTTCTATGCTCAAATCTTTATTTTACTTAGAGCCTGTTTGGTAAAAGTGTAAAACCAAACTTGATTGATTC